TTGGGGCCAACCCAGCAGCTTCTGCTCATCGCTGTTTCCCAACCAGTGGGTTTGGTGAGGCGGCGGTGTCCCGCAGTGGGTTTGGTGAGGCGGCGGTGTCCCGCACTATTGGGATAGAGGGGAAAAAAATGTTATAAGGCAACACGCACTGCCTGCAGCAATAGTGCAGGTGCAAGTTGTGAGGGGGTAGGGGGGAGGAAAAAAGGTTTAAAATCATGTGTTTTGTTCCTACTTGCACCCACCAAAGCTGAGCTTCTCGTGTTAATGTTTTTCTGCTGTCACTCTGAGGCAAAGGCAATGCCGTGTGAACGCTGTCTGTGTTCCCTGTGGTGGTGTTGAATATGCCCCCTCGTGGTCCTCTATATCGGCTACAGTGCAGGTTAGTGCAACAAAGGGGAGGAAAAAGCAGGTAGAGGAAAACAAACAGCAAAAACCTCTGGTTTCATCGGCCTGTGCTGATACTCTGTGTTCCGCCCAGGTATTAATGTCATTCAAAACCGGCTTCTTGCTTTACCATTTTCTTTAATTGAGGCAGCTTTTGAAGTTAATAATTTCCAGAAGAAACCTGTGCTGTTCAGCAAGCACTGGCATCATTTCTCTGGCTCTTCAGCAGTGTGAGGCCTTATCTGTTACAGGAATCTCCTGATCCTTCCAGGATGTTTTATATACACAGTAGCTGCTTCCTCTTATAGAAATGCCATCGTTGGCTAATGAGCAGAACATGCTGAGAGCTTTTGTCTGCGGTCCCACTGGCAGCGACGGAGGGAATCCAGATGATCTCCCAAAGGGGCGGCTGTGCAGCTGGGCTGCCTTTGTTCAAGTAATATTTTGCTCTTGCTATTTAAAAACTTCCTGTAGTCTGTCTGTCATACACACCTGCGAGCCTTGTAGTCTTCCTGCTACGATATGAATCGGAATGGGCTGATGCAGAATAATTACGTTGCAACGAAACCGGCATCGCTTGGAGTCCCTGGGAAATGGAGGTGCTTCTCCGCACCAGCTAGGGAAGAGCAGAGCAGCGATTGCTGACGTTGTGAATCATTACAGATGTGCAGAGATCCCTCAGCTCTCCTGCCACCTTCGAATGAGTAATTTTTTTCCTCCCTGACCAGCTGATGACATAACATTTATGTTTCACGGAGGGTTTTCAGTCTCCTTTTGCTCTTGGTATCATTTTGAAAGTGGTCAGATTGTATCTGCAGGTGTACGACAATGGTTCTCGCTTTCAAACGTACTGGAGAAAGGTTGTGTTAGGAATATGGCTGAGGTGAGACACTTGACACTGAGCTGAGCATCTTGTGCTACCTGATCCCATCGCTTGGTGACTGACTGCAGAAAAAAAGGTACAGAGCACTTCAGGACATGCTACTTTGACCTTTTTTTTTTTCTGGATTGGTACGTTCTCTTTTCTTCATTAATATATTTACAGTGAATTTGTTAAGCCCCAAACTGTATTATAGGTACAAATAAAAGTAGATCAGAGCATATTGTTTCTTGGAGGAAAGCCAGTTTGCTTTCTTTTTATTCCATGGTTTAGGCAAAGTGAGAATTTTAGTGACGTAAGTATCTGGGGATATTAAAATTCAAAATCGGTCTCAGGAGCCCAGTAATCTGATAGACAAGAATTTACTCTGCTAAACTAAAGCTGTCTAATTTCAGCAGATGTGATGGATTAAAAAGAAAGCATCGCTGACCAGGTTTCACTTTGTTAGGTTTTCCAATTGAATAGGGTGGTGCAGAAAGTGAGACCCTGCAGTGATACCTCGATCAGCAAGGCTCAGGTTTTAAGTGTGCCTTATGCTTTTAAACCATGTTTCTCTAAAGGTTTTGTTAGAGAGCTAATTCCAGAACACTAATGATGGATTCTCCTGCAGGGATGTTTTCTCTTTCTAACCTCTTAATTAACTGCCTAAATAGACAGTTTTTGTGCTTTTGTATTTAGAAACTCTCTAATGAGGTTTGAATCTTCTGGCCGAGTCAATGGTTCAGATATCTACACAAAAGAAGAGAAAATGCACAGTGCACTTAAGTGTAATAATATACAGAGCTGGAGTCATCTCTTCACTAGGAGGAGATTTTAATGGAGAATGTAGCAGCAGTCGTGTAATTGCAGCCGTTAGGAGGAACAGCTTTACCACGGGTCTGAACAACCTTACCCTTGTCATACACCGATCAGCTTGCTAAAATCTTCTGAAGCTTTAAACAAAAGAGCACTGGTCACTTGTAATAGAATATAGTCACAGAGGATTAACTTGAGGCCTGTTTGTGGTCCCGAGCTGTTCTGTAGCTAACAGGTCTCTGATATTCTCCAGTTACTGCAGTTTTTTTTTTCACTCATCCAAACGAGTGAGAGATCCTACCATTTCGGTGTGATGGTGAAATGTCTGAGAAAGAAGGGCCTCTGTCCAAGAAAAATCTTCACAGATCCCTGCTCAAGAGTAAGTTTATTGTCAGCATTGCCACTTTGGACCAATAATAGCTTAAAACACCTCCTTTTTTCCACTGTTCTAGAGTAATGGCCCTTTTTGTCTGCTCTTCTTGTAGATGCAACCTCCTAGTCCCTACACCAGCTTGGAGACTCAGGTTAATACCAATTCTTCCACTTTTTACTTGTAAAACTCGGAACCTAGGGCTAATTTGCTTTCTCCCCCTGTACTTACAATATTCAGATATTCAGCCTTATGGCAGGCCCTGAAAAAGTGAAGCTATAGTAGTGGGGACTGTAGTTCACAACATGAATGACTTGGTAATAAAAAAAAAAAAAGACAGAAACAAGGAAGGGCAGGTTTTGAGGCAGGCAGGACCTGGCATACAGTTAGGCAAGAGCAGAAGTAACCTGCATTTGTTAGAGCAAAGGATACGGTCGTCAAGGCAGTGCCAGCACCTATTCAGTGACTTCCCCTTTCTTTGCGTGTGCTCAGTTTCCTCGTGTGTTTCAAGATCGCAGCTGCTGGCGTGTTACTCTGAAACACTATTGTGCTGCAGATTTCCTTCAGACATGACACTGAGCTGCAAGGAATCCACGGAGGAGAAGGTCAAAGTAACAGAAGGGATTTTACAAAGTCACTAAAATGTTGATCCATGTTTCCTAACAAGGCAGCATCATTGATTTCCATTCTCACTGATCTTTAGGAGACAGCTAAGGCAGTGGTACTAGCATACTAAAGATGAGTGTTTATTCAGAATGTAGATTCCCAATGTTCCTGAGTGATGCCATAAAGATTTCTACCTTTGTTGTCTGCTGGCCTGTCCCTGGGGAAAGTTTTTCACTCTTTTGTATTTATTTCAACAAACCTACTACATCTTTTTTATGGACCTTTCTCTGGAGCCGAGTCCTTGAGTTGCAACTGGCAAAGAGACATCACACAGAGGCGATTATATGCAGTGTCATTGTAAGGGGGTGTCAAAATAGAGTATTACAGAGTAATCAAAGTACAAATTTGTGCGGAACGCAGAACTGGAAATACAGAGTATTAATCAAGGTTATTTTATTATTGAGTTGAAGTAGTGCTGGAATATCCACTCCTGAATGCATTTTACATACCATTTTACATTACTTCCTAACTTGAAATTCATGGAGGGGGAGCAGCACCTTCTTGCAGGCAATGCTTGTATGGCCCAGAGCATCCTGAACTGCTAGTGCTGGATCAAACGCAGCACTCGATCAAGTGGGCAACATAAGGAGAGAGAACGACGTGTCTGTAGTCTGTATCTCGCACCGTCCTAGAGCAGCTGAAGGGCAGTGCGTTACTTTGGTTTCCAGAAGCTGGATATCACATGCAAGCTTGATGGCAATGTTTTTTAAGAGAAAACAAACAAACAAAAAAACCCCTATCTTTCTGGGTTATAAAATTCTGATTTTTCCTATGTGAAAAGTCAAGATATGAATCCATCTTACTCTGCAGTTTCCAAAAAACAGTCTCATGTGACTCGTTCGTGCTGGTATGAAAGTAGATGGTGGCAGTGAGGTACAAGCAAGAGTGGCTATCACAGCTGAAGGCCAAAGCTTTGTTTTGGCTTCCAGCAGTATATTTATCTCTGAATTTGGGTCAAGTGTTCAAAAGCATTCAGATTAGCATTGGAAGAAGTTGTTTTATATGCAGACTCCCAAGTTAAGCATTTAAGTTTGGAATGTATGTTCTTAGGTACAAATGTCTCTGTTTTCTTTGGCATGAGAAGCATTTTGTGAAAAATCGGCAGTTTTAAAACAGGATGTTCGTTAATATGGCTAGTAAGGAATCCCAGAATTAGCAAGAACTTGCCCACATGTTTTATTTTCCTCCTTTGCGGGGCAGACAGGATCGAGTAGTGCTTACATGCATGTCAGAAGTGCTGAGCAGCCTGGTGAGCAGCAGCTCTGCTTGGGCGGTTTCCTGTGTCGCGTTGGGATGAATCAGCTTGTTTGAGTTCTTTTGCTATTGCCCTTTGGTTTCCTGTCTTGCTCTAGCTGGGCTGGTATTTGGAGGCCGTGCTTCATGAACAGGACAGTGTTCGGAGGGCTTCTCATGAATTCTTCATATTGCTTTCCCTCCTTTCCCATGACCCATAGAACTGCTGCAGATTTTCCAGAGGTGACTGCATGTAGACTTCTGAAAGAGAAAGCGGGTACTCTTCCATCAGCTTGTCTCAGCTAGTCTCTCTGAATTCCCAAAGATCTACTTTGGAACGTGTATTTAGGTTGACAGTGTTTTCTGTAAGTGCACAGAGGGAGAACATTTGCTTGAGAGGTGAGCAAGGGTTTTCTATTAATACTTTTTAAGAAAAAAAAAGCCTTCTGCAAACTTCCCCCCCCGGCCAATTTTCCTCCCTTTCTCCTCTCTTCTGGAGGCATATCAACATACTGTGTTCAAACTGGACCTATCAAATAAAAAAGTTCCTGTTAATCAAATTACAGTACATTGGAGATCAGTTTGATTCATGCAGATATCCCTATCCTGGAATAACATGTGAAAAGACAATACAATCCAGGTAGCTCCTGCCTTCCCTGTTCCTCTCTACAGATGGGATTACACCGCTCACAAAGTAGTATTCTCTTTAGCTCTGCTTTTTTTCTTACGTTAAATGGTGCATAGCAAGTGTGAATTGTGTAGTGCGTTGATTTGGTGCAGAAGATCAAGGAGTTATGAATCAGCTGTGTTCAAGGGAGTAGGAGGTGTCAGATTTATTTGCACTGTGTTGCAAAATGATACTCGCCTGGGGGGACATGCAGAAACTTGAGCTTTACAATGTTGGAAAAATACTTTGAAAACAAACTCCACACTTCCTATCTGTAAATCCCACTGTGAATAGGGAGCAACGCAGAAAGGCTCAAACATCCTTGTGGTATCTGATAAGGTCGCTTTGGCAGATTTTCTTCAGAAAGTTTAGGTGTATTTAGTTTTCCTACAATGTACAGGTGATCTGACCAAAAGTCTGAGAGAATGAAGAGAAAGGAAGGCTGTTTTACCACCGTGGCAGTTGTACATCTCATCTGAGGCAGGTCTGACTCCATTTGTGGCTACTTTCCTCCTCCTGCTTTCGGGAGTTAGCTCCATGGAGAGTGCGGGGCTGTTCACATTTTGCCCTTCCCAACTTTCGTTCTGCAGAAACACCAGTTGCTGAATGTGATGACTTCAGTATGAGTTAGCCCAGAGAGAAATTTTGGCCCAATTTTTCATTCCGTTGGTGAAAGGGAAGTTGTTATCTTCCTTGGGATGAGACATCAGCATCAGCCTCCTTTTTAGCACCATAAATACTGTAGGGTTTTAAAATAGCTTCCTTCGCAGTGTGTTGGCCACCCTAAGATCAAGTTTTGAACTAAGCTTTAGGTGTGTGTGTCAGGGTGAATATAAGCCTTTAGTTTTCCACGTTTTGGAGGTCGACAATATCTGTTCATTTGGAAACTTAACAGCTATAATAAAACAAAAATCGCCATCTTTCTTCCCAGAGTACAAGATTCCATTTTGTTTTATCTGTAAGAAGTTCAAATGCAAATGAATTTTACTCTGCAGTTTCCAGAAAGCAGAGTTTCACACTGGCATGAGAATGTTTGGTGACTCGAGGCCTTATTGAGAGGAAGGGGTGTGTGTTGTTCCCAGATATTACCAAAATGCGAAATTCTGAGCTACCTGAAATACTGTGCACATTTGGGATCCAAATGTGAGAGCTGCCTGTAGCAAAGATGCCACGTGAACATGCAGTATTGCAAGTTACCTCCTTGGCGGGAGGTCAGCTCCACGAGGTCGGGGCGGGAAGGGCTCGACGCCAACGCAGCAGCGTGGAGGAGGCCTCGGAGGTCTCAAGCGCTCGCCCGCTTTGAAGCAGGTACTGGCGTTTGAATGTATGCAACACTGTGCTTGCCATCTTGGGGAAAATAAGATTATTTATATACATGTACACAGACATATCTGAATGTTCTTCTGTACTTCCTGCATGTTTCACTTGCAGCTTAGCAAGTCAGTACCTCTCACAGAAGCCAACCTTTCTTCTTTTTTAAGTCAGCGTGGAAAAGGGCTCAGACAGTGATCACTGCCTGACAAAACTCACATTTGTTTGCCTTTCAACAGCAGTGCAACTGTGTGGTGCTGGAAGCAGCTGCGCTGGCCTTAGTGCCACGAGGAGGCCGGGGCAGGCAGGGGCTTGCAGAGGACTGAGGTCCGATTCGTGGCTCAGCCCTGAGAGCAGGAGCCCTCTCTGGGAGACGCTGCTTCTTTAAGGCAGTTTACTGGCAATTAAAATAAATCATTCTGAGCTGAATGTCCTGTGAAAACAGGTTGTGTTCAGCAGTGACAGTGTCACTCAGTAGAGCCAACCTCTGTGTAACTCTTGGGTTTGCCTTTCCCTGCAACTCCGTCCCATTTAGTACTATGAGGTATCTTGTTTCCATTAAAGAGGCCGAGGATAGAAGATGGCTTGTTGCTGTCCTGTCTACATCTTTTTCCTTTTTTTTTCCTCCTTTCTTTTTAAGAGCTAACTCTTTTTAGAACAAAAATGTACTACCCAGCAGAACACTGTGTCAGGAAAAAATGTTGTCATATTAAAGGGTATTTATTATCCTATAATTCCTTCCTCTGAAATTGATTTCTGGCTTAATTCAATAAAAGGCTCAAAAATGAAGGTTCACACTGTGTCACTCTTTTGTGAATGTTGTACTAAAGCATTAAGTGGCCGCTTTGAACAGCAAAAATGTGGTCTTGCAGCATGTCTTGCAAAAGCCCAGCAAGATTCCTTTGTCATCAGGTGTGGGTCAAATAATTTCATTGCCCTTAGGAGTCTATAAATAATTGTCAGCTCAGTTGTTTGACCTTTAATTATTTCTTCTGTTAAACTTAGAGTTTCAAGACCTTAAACCTCAAGTTTAAGTGCCCAGAGGGACTCCAGTCTGCAGCGTGTTCTCTGGGGCTGCTTGGCCGAGGGTGCCTCTCTGCCATGTGAAATGCTCTAGTACCTTGTCCTATTCCTTGCCAAGGGACGATGCCACGTTGACAGCCCTACTTGTTGTCAGGAAAGAAGTGTCTCAGCAGGACAAATTGCCTTACAATGCACCTTGAACCTGATGCAGAGAAGCTGCTCTTACAGCCCCATGGGGGTTTTGCCTCTGCACA